GTTTTTCTTCATAGAACCCAGCTTCTCAGATTATTTGCTCAGCATACAGGTTGAAAAGAACACAACCTTGTTGTACACCTTTCCCAATTTTAAAACATTCAGTGTTCCCATACTCTGTTCGAACAACGGCTTCTTGGTCCAGGTATAGATTTCTCAGAAGTACAATTACGTGTACTGGAATACTCATACTTTGCAATGTTGTCCATACCTTGTCATGATCCATACAATCGAAAGCCATTGCGTAGTCAATAAAGCACAGGTAAATGACTAGTGTAGAGAAGCTAAAGCGACTGGAAGTAAAAGAGCTGAACAGAAAATGTCAAAGGATAGTGTGAGAAAACAAAGTATTATATATAGTAAAATGTTGTTGTTAAGTGCTGTTGAGTCGGTTCCGACCCACAGTGACCCAGTATAGGGTTTCCTAGGAGCAGGTGGTGAGCTTGAACCACCCACCTTGCAGTTCAAACCGACTTTTCAGCCCAGTGCATTAACCCACAGTGCCACTTATGAAGTCTGTCAGTTTAATTTTTTTAAGGAAAAAAGTCTTGGTTCTAGAAAGCAAGAAGAAAGAGGGGCAGTCACTTCACTTCACAGGAGGTCGAGAAATTTCTGGGGAATTTTACTCTTCAGCATATAGATTTTTTTTTTTTTTAATCAAACCTTACTAGAACCATTTCTTACCCCTGACTTCAGGAGTACCCTAATGTCACCATTTTTCCAGGGAATGAGGGGGCAAATCAGCTTGCTTTTTCCTGATACCCCTTCTTGCAACCCTGCTTTGCTAAGTCATTTGCTCTAATTCATATTTTGATATATCCTTGAAAATCATGTTGACATCGTTTCTAAACTATTGTATCATCTCCCACACCTATTTATCTGAAAGTTTCAAAACAGAACATTTGTACTTCCCAAATCTGTTACCCCCTGGCTCTAAATCATTCTCTTTGTAATAAATTCCAAATATTAAAAGTTACTGTGATATAAATAGGGGAAAACAGCTTTCAAAATTGGCTATCAGCAACTACCTTGGGCTCCTTTCTGATTATCTAGAAAAAAAATGAGCTAATTGTACAGAGAAGGACTGTATTGCTTAGTTCTGAGCCTTCCATGCTGACCATTCTTCACAATAAACTTTTTTCTTACTTGTTCTCCATGTTGTTGGAATCTGCACTGTGCAAAGATCATCTGCAGATTCATCTGCTGAACTACCAATGAAATCAAAGTTAAGGCAGTTGAGGACCAGTTTCAAGAGCTGCATTACTAAATTTTGTTGACTCTGATCCTGCAGATTTAAAGGTTTGGCCAACACCTGAAAAAAAGTTTAATGTCAAATAAAACATGACTTTCAGTCAATACAAAAAATATTTATCTCACTAACCAATAATCCTTCAATGCCAAAATAAAAATTAACAGAGTTTACAAAGTTTTGTTACACATATTACAAAAAAATGGTAAAACCACCATTCACAAATGACTACAAAAGATCATTTAATAATGGAATAAGAATTAAAACTTTTATTTTGTTGTTGTGAAGTGCCGCTGAGTCAGTTCCAACCCATAGTGACCCTATATAGGGTTTCCAAGGAGCAGCTGGTGCGCTTGAACCACCAACCTTGTAGTTTAAACAGCTTTGCTGTCTGGCACATTAACCCACTTATAATTAACTTTAAATTGTAGGGCACCCTCTCAAGTTGCAACTTTAGAAGAAATATTTTACATATCAAAATACTTCATATGGGATTCATTAGCTCAAAAGTTTTTTTGAATCAAATTGAAAATATAATTTTCTTTAAAAAAAAAAACAAAACAAAACTAGAATAATGTGCTTGAAAAATACATCCATTTCAATACAACCAAAATGATTATATTTTTAAAGACAGACAGTGAAATACTTAGGGGAAGACGATATATAGTTAAGGTTCTACTACAAGAATAACACAAAGAGAGAAAAACAGGAAAGTGGTGGTTGTGTACTGTGGAGTCAGTTACAACTCATAGCAACTCTGCATAGGTTTTCTGAGGCAGTAAATCTTTATGGGAGCAGAAAGCCTCATCTTTCTCCCGTGGAACAGCTAGTAGTTTCGAACTGCTCTGGTAGCATAGTGGTTACGAATTGGGCTGCGAACCTTAAGGTCAGCGGTTCGAAACTACCAGGTGCTCCACGGGAGAAAGATGAGGCTTTCGACTCCCGTAAAGATTTACACCCTCGGAGACCCTATATAGGGTCGCTATGGGTCGGAACCAACTCGATGGCACATAACAACAACAACAAATTGTCAAATTTTTTCTGTAATTGTTTTTGCTTAAGGTCCGCTGAGTCGATGCTGACTCATAGTGACCCTGAAGGACAGAGTAGAACTGTCCCGTATGATTTCTGAGGCTGTCGTCCTTACAGAAGCAGAAAGCCTCATCTTTCTCCTGTGGAACAGCTGGTAGGTTCGAACACGCCACCTGTTGATTAGCAGCTGAGTGCTTAACTACAGAGCCACAAGGGCTCCTTTTTAAGTGAACAGAGGGGTTTAGGTCTGACCTAGTATGGTAGCTAATATATACTAAAGAGCCGAAATAAGTGGACAAAAATATTTTTTAAATCCCTTTTAGTATACCTCACCTGTGTTTCACAAATTCTGTTTTACTCAAAACTATTCCATCCCTCTTTTGGTTATTCACAATAACTGACAGCATGCTAAAAGTTTTGAGAAGTCCTTCAGAAAAGAAATCTGCTTAGGTTTGTTTTCTAAACTTATTTGACAATAGCATATATCAACAACAAAGTTCAAAAGGAAACTAATTTACAAACGGGAAAATGTATTCAAAGGTATTACTGAAGTCTTGGCTCGACTATGTGTAACATTTGATAGTTACTAAATGAGGAATACTCACTGTCATTTCATTGTTCACCTAAACTCCAGAAAAATATTGGCAGGGCAGAGAACAGAAGTTTAGAATCAATTAACTTCTTTACAAACTTTCAAGAGGGAGCCTAGTTTCAGGGGGTGCAGGGGAAGGTAGAATCTCCATTGAGTGGTTTCCAACCTGTCTAGATGGGGCTGGTGAAAGGAGATGGGGATAAGATTCTTGTGGTTCAACAGTGAATAATTGCTATCTAGACTGATTGTGAGTGTTGTAAATGTCAAGGTAGATGTTTTGTAACAAAAGGAGGGGAGTGGTTGATTTTGCAGTCCAGGAGCAGAGGACCCTGGGACCATCAAAGGAGAAGAGCAGATTGTAGGACACTATCAAGAGAAGCAGTGATGCCACAGATGGATGCAGAGATAGTGACGCAGAGAGATAGAGCGACTGGGGACCCTGGATTCAGGGAGGGAAAGGGGCTGTGTGCTGACGGCCGGAGGGTGAGCTTCCGGGGTGTGCCCTGTAGTTGTTTAAATGGTTTTATATTCCTTTTATATTCCTGAGTGCTTCAATGTACATAAAAAAAATTTAAAAAACGGAATGGATGTAAATGCTGCTGGTTGAATGAAGATGCATGGAGGGGATTGTAATCATTGCAGTGAAACAAAATACGATAAGTTGAATGTAAAACTGATGTTTTCCCTGTAAACTATCACCCAATTCACAATAAAAAACTTAAAAAAAAAAATAAGTTCAATTCACTTTTACAATAAAAAAATGTACAATAAGAAGAAAGTAAAAACTACTACCAAAAAACCAAGTTATTAAATTCCCTTTGGACTTGTCTGTATTATATACTAAGTGCATAAAAGTCCTGGTGTGGTGCTGCAGGATAAGCACTGAACTGCTAACCACAAGGTCAGTGGTCCAAACTCACCAACACTCTCAGAATCACTATAAAGGGTGGTTATGACTCAGAACCTACTCAATGACATACAACATATGCACAAAAGAGAATGTTTTTAAAACTTCCTTCAGATTTCTGCAAATTTGCTGTACTTAAGGTTGTCCACAACATTTCTAACGACAGCCTAAGGGGGAAAAAATCTATTTGAAATTCTTTTGAAGTTCTCATCGTTTTCTAAATATTCTAGCTAGAAGATTGTATTATTAAATCACTTACCTCTTTTAGAAGAGAGCATGCTAGCACTAGAATGTCCTTAAGAGACGTGTCACGAAATGAGGTAGCTATTTTCCTGTGTTTTGCTGAAGACCTAGAATAATCAATCTAAAAGATCAAGAGAATTAGTTTAACCACAGCTACCAAAGAGCAAAGCAAAAACATACTGAATAAGGAATAGAAATAATTATCAAAGAATCACAAGGTATAGAGCTAAAATAACTTTTACAAATCACCAAGGAAGTTAACTTGTTCAAGGTTATTCAAAGAGCTAACGGCAGAGCCAGAGTTAAAATCCAAATTGCTGGATTAGTTAAAAATCAGCATTCTTTCTACAAATCATACTGATGACAAAACTGAAAGCCAGAGTGGATTACATTTTCAGAGGCAACATATACACAATGGATTATAAAATAATAATATATAGATAAAATGATTCATTCCTGAATCATGAGCCTTATTTCATATTTGGCAAGTAACTTCTCGATCCTCAGATCCTGCATGTAAAATAAGTACCCTCCTAAAAGAATCTTTAAGTTCCAACTTTCCGTGAATTTCATCAACAAGCCAAATTATACCCACTCCGCACTTGTCAGCCTGGGTAAGGTTCTAAAGATCATGTCATTATGTGAGAGGCAGCTTATATAAAAATGGAGGATGACTGTATAAGATCACAAAATGCAGGGTACCTCCATTATTATTACACAAATGCTGTTTAATACAGAAGTACACAACTGCCTAACCACTGACAATCATGACCCACCCAAGCTGACACGTTAACCATTAAAGCTAATGCTACTCTCGTCTAACATCTCAGCCTATTAGTGCTAGATATATGTTAATGTACAAAATACATGGATAGTAGGTTTTCCACTACTGTTGTAAATGTGAAATGTCAGATAGCAAGATAGTTGATGAGTTAAGGGTAGATGTAGTTACAGAAAAATTTTCCTACATGGAACTGTTATTTGTATATATACCGAATATGTCACTGGTTCATATATGCTTGGTATTCTGAAAAGAAACCAAGGCAGAACTTATAAGTAATTAGAAACCTAATTTATTATATAATCAATAGTATATTCATCTTGAATATCTTATTAACTAATGATAACTAGCTCTTAAGAATAAATTTATTAAGACTACCTCTTGAGCCTATAACCTAAAATATAATACACTCAAAATCATATTATTAATAAATTTATTAACAGAAACCCAGCAAATCTGAAGTTTGAAGTCTGTATCAAACAATCATTAACAATATGATCTACAATTGGTATGTTGTTGTTGTTGTTGTTAAGTGCCATGAAGTTGTTTCTGACTCACTGTGACCCTACATAAAGTTTCAGAGGAGCTGCTGATGGGTTTGAACCTCTGACCTTATAGTTAGCAGTTCAGTGCTTATCCTATAGCGCCACACCAGGACTCTACAATTGCTATAGCATTACTATTGAATCCTTTTGTTATTTGAAAAAAGAAATCATTTCCCTTGCTAAATTTATAAAATTCAAGTAAGTGTGTTATTGTTAAGTGCCGTTGAGGCAGTTTTGACTCATAGCTACCAGAAAAGTGACTGGTAAATTCAACTGCTGACATTTTGGTTAGCAGTCCAGTGCTTAGCCTATAGCACTAAACCAGAAGCAAGCAGAGAGCTCAAAATTGATTATCTGACATCTCCTTAGGTCCAAAATACAATTTAACTATTTAAACACCACATCGTGTCACAAAAACATGAAATGTAACAGAAGTACAAAATCATTACAACAGGTAGTTACTGGAATATGTACTCAACATGTAAGATGCTAATTAAGATTTTCAGTGTTTACCCTTTTTTACTAAATTTGAAAGTTTGTCTCTCTTAAAATTCTGCCCTCAAATTTTGAAAAAAAAGTTCCTTTATAAAATGAGTAATAGCAGGTAGCATTGCAAATTATGAAATACTTTAAATATACTATTTCTTCATCCTCAAAAATAACTTGTGATTGCCATCACATCTCATGGGCAACGGAGGGACGGAGGCCTAGGAGAGGTCAAGGGGGCCGGCTGCGTGGCTGTGAAGAACAGAGGCTACGGGGCTTGAGGTACAGACATGGCCAAGTCCAAGAACCACACCATGTACAACCAGTCCCGAAAATGGCACAGAAATGGTATCAAGAAACCCTGATCACAATGATAGGAGTCTCTCACAAGGGGGTGGACCCCAAGTTTCTGAGGAACATGCACTTTGCCAAGAAGCACAACAAGAAGGCCTAAAGAAGATGCAGGCTAACAACACCAATGCCATGGATGCATGTGCCGAGGCTATCAAGGCTCTCATAAAGCCCAAGGAGAGCAAGCCTAAGATCCCAAGGGGTGTCAACCGCAAGCTCAGTCGACTAGCCTACACTGCCTATCCCAAGCAGAGGAAGTGTGCTCGGGCACACATTGCCAAGGGTCTGAGGCTCTGTCGGCCAGAGTCCAAGGCCAGTGCTAAAACTAAGGCTGAAGCTTCAACCAAGGTCTCAACTAAAGCTCCAGTCAAGTCTTCAGATAAAGCTCCAGCCAAGGCTTCAACTCCAGCACCAGCCAAGGCCTCACCTCAGGCTCCCAAAGGTGCCCAGGCCCCACAAAGATGGAATAGAGTTTTCCATCTGAGGACAGAGGGATTGGCATGACCCTTTGGGCTACCATCTGTATGGAGCTGGTATCCACCTGTGCTATTTGTACAAATAAATCTCAGGCAGGAAAGAAAATAAATAAATAACTTGTGAGGTACATATTATCCTCCTTTTACAGAAGAGAGAGTTGGAGTTTATAGACACACACTATCGTAGACCAAATTCTCAATATTACCTGAGACAGGAAGCAGGTTTGTGTATGTTCTACACACTAGGCCTGTGTCAGCAGCTTATATAATCTTAAAACCACCCAGTGAGTAGGTATAATTGTCATTTAACAGATGAGGATATATACAAGAGTCTTCAAACAGTTTGTGGAAAAAACTGAATTAAAAAATAAAGGACTATTTCCAAAAACATTCTCATGTTTAAGGAAGTTGAGGAGTTTATACAAAGTTAATTAGCAATAGAGCTACAATCAGATAAATCAATCCAGATTTGATTCTAGTTATCTTCAAACATGCAAACTTATTTTACTAGGATGACTCATTTAAGTACTTGGTGATATACAAGGAGCCCTGATGGTGCAGTGGGTTAAGCATTGGGCTGTTAACCACAAAGAGCAAGCCCACCAGGAGCTCCAGAGGAAAGAGATGAGGCTGTCCTCTCCAGTCAAAACTTACAGTCTCAGAAACCCTAAGGAGAAGTTCTACTCTATCCTGTAGGGTCGCCAGGAGTCAGAATCTACTCGACAGCAGTTGTCAATGTATAAGATCAGCCTGGAACATCTTGTGCCAGAAAGAAAGAAAGTGCCCAAAATGTAATGAGGAAATGTCACACTGACACACAAGTAAAAAGTTTGAAAGGACTCCAATTGGTCAAATGTGGGACATTTTGAGTACTGAAATAATATCAGAAAAAATCATAAGTGCTATCAAGTTTTTTCTGAATCATAATGACCCTGCATAGGATTTCTGAGGCTTGAAATCTTTGCAGGAGCAGAACTTTTCTCTTGCAGAGCAGCTGGTAGGCTCAAATCGCTGACCCTGTATAGTTCTCAGACCAGTGTTTATCATACAGAGCCACCGTGCTCCTATGGTGGTGATGGTGGTGTGCCATGGAATCAGTTACAACTCATAGAGACCCTGCACAGGGTTTCTGAGGCTATAAATCTTTACAGGAGCAGAAAGCCTCATCTTTCTCCCACGGAATGGCTGGTAGTTTCGAACTGCCAACCTTGAGGTTAACAGCCAGATTCGTAACCACTATGCTACCAGAGATCCTTGTATTCCTATATAACCTAGTAAATAAATAAAATTAGCAAACCAGGAATCCATTCTGATATAAAGAATGAATTGAAGTCTGATGAGGAATGGGTATTTTCAGAACCTTAAGCATCGTATCACAAAATACTTACTACAATGTGGAGGATAGTAAATGTACAATGCAGAAAAGACTGGCAGAGACCACTTTAATCAAGTGATCAAAGTACACAGGGTCAGTAATGTGGCAAATCAATGCAAGTATGTCCTGATAGAATACAATGAGAGAGTTAACAATTCCTATCTATGATATTCCTGGCAAAGGAGTAAAATCTAAATCTAATAATGAGGAAGAATCAGATAAGAAGAAATTGTTAAGACTTTTACAAAACAACTGCCTCTAGTCTTCACATGCTCATGAGTTAAAAACACACACACACACACACACAACAAAACTGTGTTGGCAAATGATCTTGTGCATGCATTCTCTCCATATACTGTTGCTGCTGTTAGGTGCCATGGAATGGAAGTAACTCATAGTGACCTTATGCAAAACAGAACAAAACACTGTCTGGTCCCGCACCAAACTGACAATTGTTGCTATATTTGAGCCCATTGCTAGTATCACAGTGACAATCCATCTTATTGGGAGTCTTCCTCTTTTTTTTCAGACCCTCCACTTTACCAAGCATGATGTCCTTCTTATAACATGTCAAAAGTATGAGAGAAAAAGTCTTGTCATCCTGGTTTCTAAAGAGCATTCTGGCTGTTCTTCTTCCAACACAGATTTGTTTATTCTTTTGACAGTCCATGGTATGTTTAATATTCTCCTCTAACACTTTAACTCAAATGCATCAATTCTGTTATGGTCTTCAGTATTCATTGTCCAACTTTCACATGCATGTGAGGCTACTAAAATAACTTGGCTTGGGGTCAGGCGAACCTTAGTTCTCAAACTGGTAATTTTTTTTGCTCTGACTACTTTACAGCGGTCTTGCGCAGATTTACCCAATGCAATAAGTCGTTTGATTTCTTGATTGCTACCTTCCATGAGTGTTGATGGTTGATCCTAGCAAAATGAAGTCTTTAACAACGTCAATCTTTTCTCTCCATTTATCATGATGCTATTTATTGGTCTAGTGGTGAGGATTTTTTGCTTTCTTTACATTGATGTGCAACCCATACCGAAGGCTGTGGTCTTTGATCTTCATCACTATGTATTTTAAGTCCTCTTCACTTTCAGCAAGCC